TACTTTTCTCTACACTGAATTTCATTTTGTTAGATACGGCCCAGTGTTCTATTCTGTCAAGATCCATCGGGCTCTTGAGCCTAACTAACATGTTGTTCATGTCTATGTGTCTATGGAAGGCTGATCGGTCAGAGTGCCAGGCTTCTAGAAATTCCTTGGTGTTTTGGGATTTGGCCTGGTCTAGGATGGTCACGTTTTCCCAGTTGCTTCTGTGCTTCGGAATTGGCCCATCATGTCATTGCTAAGGCTTGTGGTTGGAGCTACAGGACAGGCTACGTTATTTTTATTTTAAAAGCAAAGGGAGGTTTGTTCCAGGGTGACTTCTCACATGACTGCTGGAGCCTATAAATAATCACTTTGCACTTCAACCTGGACAGGAACTAATAAGTGATATGATACATGTGTGATCAGAATAAACGAGTAAAAGAGGCTTAGGGATGCAAAGGCGTCCCAGGATAATGTTGCAGGATCCAATCTGGGTCAGTCAGTCTTGTTGGGAGAAAAATCCATCTGGGTTCAGTTCCAAGCTGGGAGAAAGGCACTGGAAATAAAATGGAGGCTGGAGGCTTATTGGAAAGAAAGGTTCTCTTAACTGATGAAGCAGAACCACCAACCACATATGATTCTGAGATAGCTGACAAAATGGAGTTTAGAGTGGGTGGATTTTTATACCTTCTGGATTCCTCTGGGGGTCATGTAGGGGTCATAGCTGGCTCTATAGGCAAAAGAGGAAATGCAAATCCTAGGTGTCTGTCTGAACTAATTTTGCCAACCTTTTGTTTGTTGCTTATCTGAGTTTCTGACTTGACCCGGTCTTTCTGAATGGATTACCCAATCTGCATTTCTAAAAGCTGGCCTCCTCAGTTTCTGCTCGGGGCAGGAAAACTAGGGCTGGTTTCTGCCTCCCTTAAGATTATTTTTACATTTCTCCTTTAGGGGAAATGTAACATTCAGCCTTTTTTTAATGTTTCCCAAATGTTTCATTCTTCTGGGGATGTGGGTGGGAGGCAGCTTCCCAGTCTTCTGAGCTTTCGGAATCATTCTGGAGCCCATCCTCAGGGAACTTCTCTCTAGTAAGAGTGTGTGCTTTGGGCTATTCTCTTGTGTGGCATTTATATGGTGCCTGTATAGCTTTTTAGCTGTTCAGCTACTAAAACAGGCACCACACAAATACGACGCATAGAAAAGCCCAAAGCACATATTCTGGTAGAAGAGAGACATCCCCTGAGGGTAGGCTCGGAATCTCGGAAGACTATACCTCTGACCCCGGTGACCGACCCAGATTGGATCCTCCAGGTACCGTGCTTGTGGGCTAAGAAGGGATCAAGAACGGGCAATTAATTTTCTCAAAGGGCCACATGAGAAACGGAGAGGAACAAAACTGGAAAAGTGAAAAGATTCCGACAGATGAGAATGTCAAAATATTAGAACGTGCAGAAATGAATAGGTTAACCCTTGCAATTAAAGAAAAGGAACAAACGGAATATTATATGACACGGGAATTATTTTATCAATGGCTGGAGAATAAAAACGGAAACTAGAAATTAAAGAAGACGAGCAAAAAACGTGAATAAGAATTAAATATGCTAAGAAGGGGATTGTTATAATAATTAGGTATCTTATGCGTTAGTAATATAAAGTAAGAATAGAGTACTGATATTATACTAATGAGCATGTGTTCATTGTAATTGTTATTGCACAAGATATTTGTACCCAAACGACGCACTGTTTAAACAGAAGAGGGATTGTTTGCATAAAATAAAATAAATTTATTAAGAGAGAGAGAGAGACAGAGAGAGACAGAGACAGAGACAGAGAGAGAGAGAAAAAACTGAGGGGCCAAACCAATATCTCCCAGGTCCATTCCACCTGGAAGGCCGCACTTCAACTGTGGTGGCAGTGGGTGGCTGAGCCCAGGTCCCCTCACGCCATGACCGCTGCCTCCTCAGGCTGCGCCAGACAAGGGACAAGTGCTGCCCAGGACAGAAATGACCTTTTCTCCTCATCCTCCTGCAGCTTCCAGCTGACCGAAGGAGCATGTGGCAAATGTGCCGAGCTGGACCGGACTTGGCTTCTCCTTCCATCCACTCCCACGGCGTACTTATTTACATTCGATTTCTAATTTCCCTCTTTTTTTAAAAAAAGGTTTTGTTTATTAGTTTATAATATACAATACAAAAATACAAAAGAAAATAGAAGGAAAACAAGGGAGGAAAAAGGGAAGGGAATAGTGTAGGGCAGGGGTGTCCAACCTTGGCAACTTTAAGACTTGTGGACTTCAACTCCCAGAATTCCTCAGCCAGCTTTGCTGGCTGAG